GCTACCATTATAGCAATTCAATGAATTAAATCCTGTCAGGTACCCATTCAGCTCACATGATTGTATGGGTAGAGTGTAGCAAATGTACATTATTATCTTGCCAAATAACATTAATGACGCGGCGGGACTCGAACCGCGAACCACGTGGTCCACAGTCCCCAGACGTATTTACTAGACCACAACACCTATCATAATGTAATTAATTCTTCCTTTTTCGTTTATAGAATGAATAACTAAAATGTTACAGCGAGTATTATTGTTGGGTGCCAACACGTTTAAGACCATTCTACTGTGAGTACTGTCTAGTTGTTGGGTTCATCCAAGATAATGATATATATTCTTTCCATCTTTTTTTTTCTCAATGTTTTCCCTTGTTAAATAGTCGATGCCATTTTGTTGGCGACGACTCTTTTTTAAATTGTTTTAAATTGTATTTTGATTATATTTTGATTTGTTTCTAAGACTACAGTTTTCGTTCAAGTAAATCATAGGCAGAGCAGTGATACATAAAGTGTAGAAGGATTCTTGAAGACGGGAAGGGATTTATTTCCTTTTAAAGCTAAAGAAGAAGTCAGAGCAAACGTTATCATACATACATCATGTACCGTGGAAACATCTGCTTGCTTTATAGCACGTCTTTATGTTTTCTATTTTTTCGGGTTTTAGTTTAAAGAAATATGAGTTGACATGACGGCCATAGAAGAGGGGAAGGAGACAAATATTTCACAGAAAAAGAATGTGAATGCACATTAGAGCCAGAGAAGACTTTGCGTCTCTTCGTTCGATCACCGAATGGATCGGATTTCGTCTTTACCGTCTGCCTCCATGACCCTTGAACAAGCATACTCTATAGACATAAACATCATCGTCAAACGACGACTGGTGTGGTAATGCATGTCTTGGGATGAACAAGATCGCACAGAATCTTAAGAAATAAACTTTAGAGGGCCCTTTTCAACACCCTGTTATATTGCCTATGGAAAACAACATCGGATTACCTAAAACGTCATTGTAATGTTCGCAAATGTCGAAAGAAGATAAACAAGGTTTCGTATTGAAATTGCCCAAGTATTTTCTTAAATGTCTTTGCGATCGGTAGAAAGATATATCTTACTGTTCCTGCAGTTTGTTATGGGGAAATATTTCTATGAGCATTTGAAATTGATCTAAAGGTACTATGTCCCATTTGCAGGCCAACAAAATGAAAAGGTTAAATTCCGACGGCATTTGAAAGATATTACTAATTTAGAACTTCCCTAAAGAAAAGGGGGCTTTAAAATGTCTTTATGTGGGAAAATAACGCCTATTAGTTGTCGAATTTTCTGATTTTCAGACCATTGTACCGATTGGTCGTTCGTTTTGTGCTGCACAAAGATTCAATCAGTTTAATTTTGGCCATTACAAGAAGTGGGTTATTAATGTAGACAAATGCTCATGTACCCTTTACAGCTCATGTTATGTATGTTTTTACCAAAGAAGGAAAAAAAAGCCAGTCAGTCACTTAATAGTGTCTGACAGTCTAGCAAGTAAACGGGTTTCCTTCCATAATTTGAATATTAGGACACTGCTAACGTTTAAATTTCACAGATTTATTGGATTTATTGGTTTTGGCTCATAAAAGAAGTCAGGCGCGGATCCAGGATTTCTTAGGGGGGGGGGCCCAAATTTGAAATTATGCGAGCCAAATATTGGTACGTTATGGTGACCAACGGTGACGTTATGCGGGGGGGGGGGGGGGCGAGTTTCCCCCTCCCAGGCTTTGACGTTTCATTATATTATTAGAGAAAGAAGACGATTCGTTGTACCGTTCTCGAAAATAATTCTCGTCTGAATTTAGTTTTGCTCCTCCCGCGCGAAGCGCCGAAAATTTTACGATTTATTAAATTATTAGAGAAAGAAGACGATTCGTTGTACAGTTCTCGACTCTTAATCCTTGTCTAAATTCAGCCCCCCCTCCTGCGCGAAGCGCGGAAGCTTTGACGTTTTATTAAACTATTAAAGGAAGAAGACGATTCATTGTACCGTTCTCGAAAATAATTCGCGTCTGAATTTAGTTTTTCCCCTCCCGCGCAAAGCGCGGAAGCTTTTAATCTTCATTTAATTATTAGAGAAGAAGACGATTCATTGTACCGTTCTCGAAAATAATCCTCATCGGAATTTAGTTCCCCCTCCATCCCGCGCGAAGCGCATAAGCTTTTACGTTTCATTAAATAAATAAAGATTCGTATTACCGTTCTCGCCTCTGAATCCTCGTCTCAATTCAGTCCCCCCCCCCCTCCTTCCCTCCTGTGCGAGGCTTTGACGTTTTATTATTAGAGAAAGAAAACGATGCGTTGTACCGTTCTCCATACTCTTAATCCTTGTCTGAATTTCAAAGAGGTGGGGTCGAGGCGGTGGAGCCGGCACCGGAAGCTCAGGGGTTTTAGGCGTTTAATTAAGGTCAGATGAGCATATTTTTGTGTATACCTTATTATTTTGTGACACTGGCAAGTCACTATTTGGCGTGGGGTCCAGGGGGCGGAGCCCCAAAAAATCAGGGGTTTAGGCATTAAATTACTGTCAGATGATCATCTAAGGGCCCGCCGTAGGGCCCTAGATGGAATCCAGGGGGCAAAGCCCCCGGAAGCTTAGGGGTTTTAGGCATTTAATCACGGTCAGATGAGCATATTTTGATGCCTCGAGGCTCTCGATCCCCGCCGTACCTCGGGCCCTGACATGTAGGAATCTCAGGAATCATATTTTTTGCCTGGTTGTAAATTTAGGAATTTTTTTATTTTCCAACAAACACATACAAACGTATAATTTACTAAAAATTGAGGCAAAATTTCGGAAATTATGTCATTTCAGCATTATTTGTAATACACCGTTGTGGAATCAGAAATAAACCACGTTTGAATTTGATTCCCCCCAAGCCCCCCCCCCCTCTATCAGTACGCCAGTATCTCCTCTTTTCCTGTTTTTTCTTTCCCTTTCCTTCCTTCTCTCTTATTTTTTTTTGGTGGGGGGGGGGGGGGGTTAACAGCCTGGGAGGCAAGGCCCTTTCGGCCCCTCCCCCCGATCTCCTTCTTCCCCTTTACTTTTCTTCTTCCTCTTCTTTCTTTCCCTTTTTCTCCTTTTTCCCTTTCTCCCTTCTTTTCCTTCTTCTCTCTTTTTTTTTTTTTTTTTTTTTTTTTTGCGGGGGGGGGGCCAAGGCCCGCTCGGCCCCCCCCCCCTGGATCCGCGCCTGAAAGAAGTTGACCACAAACTAACTCCCACACATCATGTGCACGGGTCACGGGCCACTGGCTTCATCGGGCAGGTAGTTCCATTATGTACATGGGTAAATTCAGACAACAATATACAACAAATTAAAACAAGTTTAATACCAAAAAAAATCTAACGATTAGTTCATATATTATCTCAAAGCAGCCTGACCACAATGGAACGAGTGAGGTCTTGCTAGAGCGGCTGAAGTGCAATTGAAACACGCTATTTTGCTCTTTTCCAACTCAAAAAGAGACGACATTGTGCTGGATAACTATGTTTGTTTCCGACAAAAGTACAGAGAAAGGGTATATATTATTTTGTTTAATATATTTCTATAAAGGTTGCCCAAGTGTTTCCCGGGCACCCCAGTGCTGGAAACAAACGCACTTTTTTTTTTTAATGGAAAATTTCACTTTTTCATGCAAAAATGCATTTGTTCTCTGCACGCAAGTCGGATTGAGCAGATGATAGAACGTTTCCATATGGTTGCAGGAATTAATGTATCTCATGTACCTTACAGTTATGTAAATCTCTAAAAGTATGAGACCTACATTTAGCTAAACATCGATGAACTACCACTGTTTGTCTTCCCCGTGATGATATTGATGAATATTCTTTTCTTTAAGTCATTTCAATATACGTAACTTTTGTTTCCGTTTACAATTTGTTATAATGCTTTAAAAAAAATAGACTGCCACCCGGCCCTATCATACGATAAAATGTTAATACATAATCGCTGTTCGTTAAAATCGATGCAACTGTATTAATATTTTGCCCATATATTTTAAGGGAATTTTCTTTAATACAGGAGTACAGAATCTTTAGTAGATATGAAACTACTATGAAAGTGTATTTTAGGGTAGTCCCTTTTTGTAATACTAGTACCTTATTTGCTTTTAGTAGCTTGTTTGGATATAGTGGTGGTGGTTATTTTACCTGACTGCTAGAAAGCATAAAGGCTTGTTAGTAAGCAACCAGAGATTAATGCCTTACCAATGGGCACTAGCGCATCGCCTTGGTTTCGAACCCGGGTCGCCGGATTACGAGACTACTGCTCCACCAACTGAGCTATCACGCCTCCTCTGAGCTATCGATGGAAACATACATCTTTAAATGTAAATATAAATTACTTTATAAAGTTGCAACACGAGTGACATTTGATCAAATCCATTGCATTCATTGCGTGCACAATAATTGAGACTAAGGCGTAATAATTGATCTAATTCCGTTTGTATGCTTGCCACTGAAATAACTTTGATGCGAAATATGGCCAACAAAAGACAGTTCGCCGCCCCCATTACTTTTTTTACTGTCTTTGGAAGAATATTTTGGTTCATTACGTAATTAGAGGGCAAGAGTATCGGAAGAGACCACAGTCGTAACAAGAGAACTTTCTCTGATCTTCAAAGAATAAGTTCAGCCGGAAATATGGAAACCACAAGGACGTGAATTTGTGCTAGTAATGACATTATCGAGTACATGAGGAAAACTACAAGCACTTGGTTGATATAATATGAGCTAAAAAGCTTAATGGGCACAGGGGCACAGGTGGGAGTTGGAGACACACATACCAGGCCAGGTGTTATCTTATTGGCTACAATAACACTAGAGTACGTGTTATCGCTACGTCACGCAAACAAACGACCAATGGAAATAAAGCGGGAGATGAAATATCATCCCAGTTTATTGCCGTGCGGCGGTAGTCTAAGCCGCACGCATCACAACGTCTTGCTTTATAAGACAGCACGGTGACTTTGCCATGCTGAGGGACAGGGACATGCATGTAGAGAGTTAGAGAGAAAATACCTTCTTCTCTCAGTCATTACATGAGCATCGACTGAGGGGCGAATACCGCAACGATCGTCAAACGAATTATGGACGAGTGAAGTCGACATGTAGCCTGGTGTTCGTAAAGAGAGAGACGACTACTACTACTCATAAGAAGACTGTCAAGCTGGCGTTGCCTGCTTCTATTTACTTTTGGCGGGAATCGAACTGGCTCTATTAACACCTGTTTTCCAGATGAGTGCTCAAAGTTTGCTTCGATGCATTAGCGCAGTTTTATGAGACCTGTGCTACTTTCCTCTTTAGGTTTTAGAGTAGATAATCTATAAAAAGAAGAGTAACAGTACTATTAACAACTTTATTCGAACGTTTGCATTGACCCGTCGTTTTAGCCGCAATCGATGTGAATTCTTTAGATTGTGAAAGTGTATACGACACTTACTGTTCATTGAACTGACGGATTCAGCGATTCTCTTTTCCACTCCAGCTAAAAGCACATTTCATAGCAAAAATGACGTAAGTACTATCAAGAATATTTCTTTATGTTATATAAGAAACAAACAATATTTTGCAAAACGCCAAATGGCACACGATGCACACCATGTGTCAATGTGTTGTTCAGAAATGTCATATGACATAATTAGATTACCTTTATATGAGATTGCGTCCGTCTTGCATCAGGGAGGGACGGGATGCTATATTTAATAATATTGATCTTTTGGTGTGTGTATATCATGGATTGTTTTCAAGACAATGCATATCCAACTCACACCTAAGTAAAATAAAATGAACTTCGATTGGTAATGAAAAGTTATAATAGAGCTGATTTCGATTAAGGTCTAGCATGGTCAAAGTGGGAAGGTCTGAGCTATAAAATAAAGCTGATTTTATCATTTTACATGAAAATGAAATCTCAATTTTACAAGAGAAATGGAGAGGCTTGCTTTTGTTTCGTTTGTTTGACATTATGGAGATAGATTGCATGCTGTTTTCGCTGATCGTATGCGATAATGTTCATAATATTATGGTGTCTCTTATTAGGCCTATGCACGTATCATATTGACATTTTCATTTTGTTTCTCCCTCATGATTTCAAAAACGTGAAAAGGTCAGGGAAAATACCGATTGTTGCGACTTTAAGAAGTATGATTTGCAGAATAGAAAAATAAAATAGATTAGTGATAATTCCTTGTTATATCCCATATTTGTCTTTGCATACCCACCTCTTTATCAGGTTTTTGCAAAGAGATTTAGGGGGTACCTAAGAGAAACATGTAAATAAATATGTACTCAGATATCCGAGAATATATGTGGTTATCAAATGTCCGTGCTTCATCTTATCAATACCCTATGGATTCCACCAAAAATGTACGTAATTATACTATCACAGCACGTCCACACAGACGTATTCGAAACACCTTTTTCCAAATTAATCAAATGTCATAAATCAAACCGACGATATCAACACCAAATCATTTTGAAAACGAACAGAAAAAGTGTCCATGCTGCACAACAGGAATGACCCGACATCGATAGGTTGATAGATCGATAGGTCGATATGTCGATAGGTTGATAGGCGTTTAACGCATTTCTAAATGATATGGAACTGATACTGTATTTACATATTTGTGTCAATTTATTGACAATGAAACCATTGTAGTGTATTATTTGGCATGATATGAATTGATTTGTGACGTAAGTGTGAGCTTGTGTTGATCTATTAGACAGTGGTGATAGCATGTTTTGGTATGCGACGTTTGGATTGCATATCCCAGAGGTGTGAGTGAAAACGGGCATATTCCATCATCTCCACAGAGCCTTTAACTATTGCGCGGTATTTTTTGTATAAGACATCGTGATAACTCGTTTGGCCTGGAGAAGAAAAATTATGTCAAGAATTCTATTTCTTGGATTGCTCTTCTCGCTTAGTTGCCTAGGTACCCCTCTACATCCCCATTTCGATTTTTTTTTACTCTCTCTTTTTCTCACTCCGTCTCTCTCTCTCTCTGCCTCTATCTATTGCATTGTCTTTGTCTCTATTTATTGTCTACCTCTTGGATTTCGTTCTTCCATGCCAAACCTTATCTCTGTCTCTCATTGACTCGGCCTTCCCCTGACTTTCTATATATTACTATATCTTTTTACTTTCTTTACCTCTCTCACACACACGATACCCACTCAAACACGCACACACACCCTGTCTTTTGCCCTATCATTTCTTCGCCCCTACCTTTTTGTTCTCTTACTCTTACCCTGAGACACCTTTCCATGCCCAGTTGTTCATGAAAAGTCAAACACAACAATACGCTTAACCCCCTCTTTCTGTCTATCTCATTCTTTACCGCTGTACTCTCTATTCTCCTCCTCCCCTCCACCCTCTTCCTCCTCCCCGTCTCTATTTCTCTTCAATTTTCTTCAAACTTCTCAAACCCGCCGCGTGCGCCCCCCCTCTCTCTCTCTCTCCCTTTCCATCTCGCTCTCTCTCTCTCACACACACACACACACACTCACACGCAAACAAGCGCGCACGCACACACGCACACACATTCACACGCACACGAAAACACACACATACACACCCACCCCTCCCTCTTTTCACCACACCTATCATATCTCGCCCATTCCCTAACATCATCATCCAGTATCTCTCTCTCTCTCTCTCTCTCTCTCTCATCTCTCTTCTCTCTCCCACCTATGTAAATCAATCGTCGCTATATCTATTTAATGGGTTTATTTTGTGGGGTAAAATGAAAATTAATACGTATTGATTGATACCACAAGACAGACTTAATATGTCTCGAAAGATTCATAAGGCATTTACGCACACTTTGTTATTTTATCCTTTTCCAAGATGCTGTGGAAAAATAAAAAGACCGATGAGGGAAGTCTTTACCCGCATAGCTCTACCGAAGAATATAAATGCTTTAATGTGAAAGGGCACAATAATAATACTAATTATAGTAGTTACATTTGTAAAGCACATAATACTTATTCATGGGCGCTATAAACTAATGTGTATTACCCCTCATTCATTAGATTCAATTGCTATTCCGCATATGATAGCGTACACGCTCCGCTCCCTGTGAATTATTCCGTCCAGGCTTCATTTTACAAGCGCACAAATGCCAATCCAAGATGGAGAGTGACAAATGTGGATAATTTTCTTGCCAAGGTGCCGGGGCTCGAACCGATGACCTCACATTTCCAGTCAAGTGTGTAAACGTGTAGACCACTCGACTAATTACTATGACAAGTTACACAAAAATGTAGCGGTACGTAATGAGAAGGCACACCAACACGAACAAATTATGCAAAATTGTATCCGTCAATCAGCCATTTACACCCATCAGGCAAAGCTTAAAATGTGTGGTTATCTCATTAAAGAAGTAAAAAGTTATTCTTAGAAATTTGTCGATATGGTCCCCGGAGAGGTAAACATAATTCTGTTTTTTGCATTCGCAGAACACCCGGGAGCTGACAGGGTCGCGTCACACTGCCAGTAACAAGCAATCAACATCATTGTAAGAAATAGAAAATGAGTTAAACTTCTGCCTTTGAAGCGTCAAAGATATTTCAGAGAAAAGGCACCCAAATAAAATATATGCTTTAGATATTTGTTCTTTCTTCTTTGATCAGGACGTGTACACGTACTGCGCAGACTTACAAGGACGATTATGAATGTATATCTTCTTATCTTAGGTAATATTGCACAGTTTTCTGCTAAATAACCAGACATGTACTATGAATTATTTTGGTCAGCAAAATTATATAAACCGATAGGTCGAAATAATAATAAAACTCGTGAACATTGAAAACTCAAATTTTAAATGCAAGTTACCCTGGTGATCAAAATGGGGTACGATCTGTATCATTCAAATTAAATTGGACACCTTTTAAAAACAGTATTTATATTGAAACAGTCTGCGACTAGTCAAACCAACTGGTAACGACGGCAGGTTAAAATACAGTAGCTGTATTGATGAACAAGACATCTTGAATGAAATGCTGTTGGTCTTCGCAACACCAAGCAGTCTTTTTCGACAACAAAAGATGTGGAAAGTAAGAAAAGACGAACTACCAGATTAATCAAGAATTCTGTGATCAGAATGCTTGGTTTGCTATCAGGTATCCCAGCTCTAGGCAATCATTTTCGGTAACAATAACAAATCCTGTTCGTTTACGTGAATCGGATGTTCCGTCATAGTATACATGCAAAATTATAAAAAGGATAAATCTGTTGATGCTACGCTAAAGGGTAAAAGACCTTGAGAAATCTTGTAAGATAGAGAAGGTATACTATACCTTACATCTCCATTGGGTAAAGTATTTCTAACAACCTTTTAAATAGAAGTATAGACACTCAGGCAGGATGGAAATGGCGCTGAAGACGTAGGATGTTTTTTGTCTTTTGAAATATTATTTCTGAGAAATGAAATTATGATATCGAAGCGGTTTCTCCCCGGGATATTGAAGACATTTATCGATCCCTAATCAATTTTTTATTGAGAGTGTGTGCTCTTTAGCAAAAAGACATATCGAATGGCAGTAATGGCAACGTTAAGAGGAATATCCCATTGAAGTTTGAATCCAATATTCATATCATATATACTACATCATAAAAACAATATCTGAAATGTCAAAGGCTTCTGGCGAAATATTAGGACTATGAAATTCAATCTTTTCCTTCCTGTCTACTCAATGGTTGATTCAGAAATTGATATCAGAACAATAATAAGTGAAGTCCCCTTACCATTGACCGAAACTGCTACTGTTATCTATTCTATGATCTCATGTAGACTATAGACACCCATATATTTTGACTGTCTTTATTTAGTTGGCCTTCATAAGAGAGGTCTCTTCATCGTTGATGTAGTCTAAGATGGAAAGACCAGTGGGGACAGTTCACTTGTAATACATTTGTCGTTGATTGGGGCAGCTCAGCTGTGCGTTTGGTAAAGTGCTTTTATATTTGTATTCAAAAATATATTCTAGCTTATTAACATATAAAACCATTGCATTAATGCACGGATACAACAAAAAAGACAAGATGAAATTTAACAAAAGGCTTTATCTTTGCGATTACTAAAACATAATGCCATCTCAGTATAACTTCAAAGAAAAATTGAACATCACAAATGTTAATATTACCATTTTATCTTTAACAAATATCTTGCACCCTAAGAGGGAGCCTTTCAATCTTGTTTGTCTGTCATTTCTCGCTATACATTTCAAAGCTTTACCAATATCTTCAGTGCCATTATTATTTTTCGGTAAAGAAGTTGGTTTCAAACAAACTGACAACATAACATATTGTTCATCTTACTGCATCCATCTATCTATAATTCCAAGTGACTGATTAGTTTTCTTTCAAGAGTTGCGTCATCAATTTAATCTGACAAGAATAATACCTCAATTACCGGCAGTGAAGTATAAATAGATAATGTCGGTTCCTCCTTGCAATCATTTCAAAGGATAAAGATGACTTTTCAAATCTTGTTTATTTGGAGAACCTTTCT